AAAGAAGAATTTTCAAATTCCAGTGGAGGCAAATGCCCAGACTAGACCTCCCTTTCGCCAGAGCAATATCTAGCTCTGGGCTTCAATTTAATTTTAATATACATTTTTTTTATAAAATATTTTTCAATAAATTAATATTATACTTAAATTTAATTTTTTTTAATCATAAATCCTCCAAAAAAATATTATTTCATTTTTTTAAAAATCTCATTAAAACAGAGTCCAAGCCCAATAATTCCAAGATTTGATGTCATATGTGGTTTAGATTCTGACAAATGCTACGAAATAGTGTTATTCATCACTGTCATGAATAAATAATGATGTGATATTTAAATAATTTTAATTAATTGTTGCTGAATTAATTAATGAATGTCATATCTGGAATAGGTGTAGATTCGAATGCTTGCTTTCATTAATAAAAAAGAAAAAAATAAAGAATGAGATTTTTTAATGAATTAACTTATAAAATAATGAAAAACAATTTGTCGTATTGTCCTTTTTTTTTTTTTTTTAGTTTCATCCAATTTATCGTACCAAACATACTATTTAGTACAAATACTAGATTAAGTGCTCCACTCAACACGAGGAATCTCAATTGATTCTTTTCTCGATTTTAAAAACTCTTATGTTTTGAACAATATATTATCTATTTAAATTATGGATTATAAATTCCTGAAAGTGCTTTATTGTCATTCATACTATAGTTCATCAAACTAGCTGGAAATCATCGGTAATTTCGCTTTCCTTCTAGCTTGATCTTTTTGTTTCTTTTCTAAAATGTCCTTTTCAAATGAATTAGAAATTTATTTTTATAGCTTCTAGTAATGACAATTTTCCCCGCACCGATCCGAATGGAGCCAAAAAAAAAGCCCCAAACACTGGGGCGGGAGCGGGGTGACTTGCCTCGTCTCGGGTCACGAGATGGGGCAAGGGTGCCCTACCTCGAACTAGTGATGGCAATCGAGCCGAGCGGCTCGTCGGCTCGGCCGCTCGGCTCGTACTGTAGCGATCGAGCTGAGCGGACCCGTTCATAGACGAGCGCTCGTGGGTGGGCTCGTGAAAAA